AGAACTCCATGAATTTGTGTGAATATCTATGATTATATTTTTCTATGAAAACTCTTTCATGTTTATGTATCTCTAGTCATGAATATTGATATGTGAATGTTATTTTTTTGGTTAAATTCTTGGCTAAGTAATGGGTCTTCAATTTAAAAAGCAAAAAAGAGTTTAAATGTTTGTTTTCATTTCATTTAGACTAAGAAAATATTTTCTCCATAGTGGTAATGAAAGCAATAGATTACTCTTTGGATTTGGTGACTCTTAAAACCTAATGCTAATTGATTTTCACAAAATTTCATGCTTCATTAGTTATGTGACTTTGATTTAGAAAATGCGCTATGGGCTTCTCTAGTTATTTTCATACAAAAGAAGAGTTGAGGCAAGTTATGCTTATAAATTGCTATAATCATGTTAGATTATAAGCACAAGAAGTGCACCTTGGTATTCTCATGATTATTTAACCAAATGTTCAAGTAATGAAAGTCCAAAGTCAACCATCTTCCTCTTAATGATTTTACATCAAACTTTGCTTTAGTTAAATTGTCTCTTCAAATCTTAGTTTAATTCTAGTTTTCTTTTAAATAGTTCAAAAGATAAAAAAAAATCCCCCGTTTTTATTTTGTTTTAGTTTACAAGTGTTTGTACAATAAGATTTTTAGAGAAGTAAAAAATTGAACCAATCATCGTCGATACGATCCTTTTACCATTATACACTACTTTAGTATACAAGATTTAGGGTTACTTATTTTGTTGGACTTAACAACCAGTACTTTACAGTTGACCCTGGATTTGTTCTCAATATTTCTTGCCCATATGACCACAATTTTGCATAGTACTCCATAAGAGTGCCTTCAATAAGCTTCAAGGCATACTTCTTTGCTCTCCTGCATTAGTCCATGCTAATATGTATACTAAACTTGGTCATTACCTGTATCCTAAGTTTCCTCACACTCAATTTCCAACTCTGTACAGTTTCTTTGGTATTGTAATTCCCAATCCATGCATATATCACCAATGATCCTAACTTGAAGTTCCTAGCACAATTATGACCAACTTTTAGTGACTTGATCTGGAAACTCTCTTTATCACCCATCCAAGAAGCCTATAATCTAAATGTGCAAGCACCCTGATAGTCTTTTTCTATCATTTTTTTTCAATAGTCTTTCTTTTATCATTTTTTCAAAATACAACTGATATATGTTAGCCACAACATAATTACACAACAATTATTTAAGTTTCCCTGGATCCTGAAATCTCATTCCAAGAATGGATTTCTGTTTTTTCCAGTGTAATAAATCATTAAAAATGGAATGAGTGTGCATGGTAGGTTCAATTTCTCTTTCATCATTGTCATTTACAATGCTGTTATCCTCCTCTTTATCAACACACAACTTACTCAAGAAAAAATCATTAGATGTCCTCTTCATAATCATTGCATCCTCACTGAATTCAATATCAACATTTCTAAGTTCATCTATGTTATCTTCATTTTCACCATCAGTGCAAGACTCATGTTCATCATTTAGATTGTCATTATCATCAAACCACTCATCTACTCCAACCCCAATATGATCCAGAAAAACATAAATTTACCATTTGTTCCATAATGATCAATAATAAAAGCAACATATTCCACATCATCTTAAATAGGTTTAATCCTATTTATTAGGGTAATGTCTGGTTCACAATAGTATAACATTTTACATTGTTCATTCATGAAACGTTTAAAGAAGGTTAAACACTCGGAATAAGTTGTTGCAGAAAAATTAACATCATTCAATATGGTTTTCACACCACCCGTGTAAGAAAAAGGATTAGAAGTAAATACCCCTTGATAATTGAGTTCGACCATTGCAAACAATCAATTAGGATTTGATTGTTCCATTACAGCTAGTATTTGATTTTTCTGCCCACTTACAAAAATGGTTAAAAAAACCTTAGCTCGTGATCATTTTTTTCTGAGTAATAAAGAATGAAGTCGACAAATGAATAGAGTGGGGTATAAGTGTGGATTCATTTATTTTGATCTGGAATATCCTACGTGTCACCGGATTCGCCCAAAAAACAATATATTAATTGACACATAATATTTACAACTAATAAACATTTTAAAATCCAGGAAAATGATTTAATTGACAGATCAAATAGTAGTTAAATGGCCTAATGTGAAAAAAAAAAAAAAAAAACAAAAAAACTTTAATGACAAAAACGGGAAAATACAATAATTTATTGTGCTACAATGACATTTTCTCAATATTATATTATATGAAACAATATAAACTAAATCACAAATTTCATCCTATTAAACTAATTACTACCAAGAATTTTTCCATATCATATTTATAATATTATTACACAATGTTTTAAAATCCAGTTTTACCTGGTTGGACCAGGAATGTGTCAAATGAACAGTTCAAGTAGCACCAGTTTTACGTTTATTTCTAGACCGGAACGAACTGCTTAGTTTTTACAAAATAATCGGCTGAACAGGTTACAGTTGATTCAATTAAATTGAATAAAAGCATACGGAAATGAAGTAATTTTCATAACTTTAATGACATTTTCACATTTATTTGGACTTTTCTTATATTGAATAAAAATATATAGTAAATGTTTTTTTAAATACACATATTTATCTAAAATTATATTGTGTTTCAATGTTATATATATATATATATATATATATATATATATATATATATATATATATATATATATATATATATATATATTAACTTTTTTATGTTTTTTTTATTTATATGGATTAATATAAAACTTATAGTTATATGTTTTTTTTAATGTATTTTGAATAATCCAAAATCTGCTTTAAAGTGTATTCTTAATGTGTGAACCTTATAGTAAATGTTTTCTTAATGTATTTAAAAACCTTATTGAACCGTAAACCAGTTACCATACCAATATACCAATTAAAGAAAAAACCAATTTTGTAAAACATTGTTATTACAAATATCTTACTCTCATGCCTCCACTTTTGAGTGTTAACGTGAGTAGATCTTGAATCTCCTAATTCAATAGATATACAACGAAAATTTGCTGTTCAATAAAGTCAAAAACCATATTTATTCAATCATTCATTCAAACATAGTACGAAGGACGAATGTCAATATTACCAAATTTCTTGTGTCACCCTTTCGAATAGAATTAAGAAATATTAAACGCCATTACCATATCTATCGATTCATTGCAACAAACTATCTCAAATAGCTTATTGAAACTCTATTTTAGTAATCTCATGTTAAAAAGCAGCAACAGGGATTAAAAGATATCCAAATTGTAAGAAAATCAACATTTTCTTATAACAAAAAAACAAAATTCCTCAACAGTGATTACCATATCCCATCAAATACAACACGTAGAAGGCCAACACAATTCAACTTTAAAAAAAAAAAAAAAAAAAAAAAAAAAGGCTGCAAATTGTTCTAGGAATGTCATTACACACTGTAACGACCTTTTGATGTTCTTGTCTTTGAGTCATCCTGCATAACCACATCATAATGTTATTATTTATACACATCTTGTATAAATTATAATAATTAATAAATAGCTAAATACAATACATAATATAAAATGGAAATTTTAAAAGGAAATGTAAACAGTGTAAAAAGAAGTTTACATGGAAGTTGTAGGTGATCTTGTCAGTCACATCTATAATTTCCTTCCACTTTCTTCCAATACTCATCTACAATTCACAATTCACAAACCACAAATCAAAAGGGCAAAATCGTAATTTTACTAATTTGTATGATGGATTCAATCTGGTTTCCTACGTGTGAGTTTGGTTTGGGGTTTATGTCATGTTACCTTATCCAGGGTAAAGTAGTTATTTTGTTTCTCATCTAGGGTATTTAGGACTTTTTACTTTCTTCTTCTCCAAGTAACAATGAAGTTGCATTGTTAATGTAAATACTGAAAAGAGCTGCAACCCTTAGGTCATTACTAATTGTGTGTGATGAGTTTATTCTAGTTTTATCTTATCTAGGGATGAGTAGTTATTTTAGTTCTCATCAAGGGTATTAATGTCTTTTCCTTTAAGTGGTTAACAAATACCTGAGCAGCTTCATTAGCAGCATTTTTAGTCCATAAAGAAAGTTTATCCTGCCTTTGACGCACACTAGCAACCACACCACATATTTCATCAGCCTCATCAAATTGCTCACCAATTAAGGCCATCAACTATGACAAAAAATATACATATTTCAAATTCAGTTGATTAAAACATTGAAAAATATAAAGGAAACTCAAGGAAGAAGTGGAGAGAAATTAGAAATATACAGTTTCAAACCACATAGTTTCAAGGTTAGCCTTTCTGCTACTAGTAACTGTCCATTTCCCTCCATTTGCACACTCTGGATCTTCCCATTTAGGCTCAATCCCAGCTTTGAACAAATGGAAATCAGCATTTCCTGGAAGCTTGCTAGGTTTGAATACCTGATCATACAGACTGCAAGAAAAAATTCAACATGATTTTAGAATCTTATACCAAGATTACCATCTCTTTTGATCAATGAATGATCTCAACTTGGTTATTTTGAATTCAAACAGTTATTGTATTATGATTCAACAAAAAATACAAGCACTCAGCAGCACTAAAGTCGAATTAGGGCATAAGAAATTCAAGATATAGAAATTGGTACCAGATCAAAATTTTGTTAGCAGAATCTGTTTTAGTTTGTTAGAGACTGTAAAACGTTAGATGCTTCAAGTTCATATACGAATACAATCCATGGATAGCTAAGTAATTTGTATATTAGCGATCAAGAGGAGTCGGAAATCGAAAATTTAAATCTAGGTTGAAGACAGATCAAACCCTAACAGTACATCCAATTAAGAATCTTAATTACGATATGTAGAGAAAAGAAAGACGTAGAAGAATATGTAATTAGCGTTTACCACCAAAACTCTTCGACAGTGTCGAAAGTGTAGCCGTTGCGAAGATTATTCCCCCAACCTGCGCCTTGTTTAGGTTTAGATTGATTATCAAACCAGAATGTCCACTTCTTGTCTAGCCTATGGGGTTGCTCCGCCACTTCTCCGCCAACATCTACCGCCGCGCCGTCAGTCGCCATTGTTCCCGGCTTTTCTCTCTCTCTAGTTCTCAATTTCCCTTCAAAGAAGGGGTGTTTGAGATTGGTTGCTGAAGCAAACTGCTAACTTGCTATTATATGGGCCCAAAGAGGGCAATGCACCCGTTAATGGACTTTTTATGGTTTATGGGCTCAAAATATGAAATGGAGCAAATAACGAAAACGGGTTACAAATTTCTATATGTGTAACTTTAAGTAGGTGTAAGAAAAGAAAAACTAATAATGTATTTTTATCAAGTGTCTCAAAGTGTTTCATCTAAAATAATTGTAAGGATTTTCCATCATATATTCATATAGTTTTCAAAAGGATGAAGTATCATAACACAACCACAAACACAAATCAAGTGTTGGCATGTGGTGGCATACCTTGGTCGTTTAAGGAATAACTTTGGGAAGTTGGTTGTGGGTATTCTTGAAAGCGAATGGAGACAATGATGGTGGATGATGGTGATATTAGGAGATGGTGGGGGATGAGATGGGAGGAATATGAATGCATGAGAGATCTCCAATGGGAGGGGTGGATTCTTGTAACAAAACAAAGGTTTGTGATAGTATTAGGTTTTGGATGTATGTCAAGAAGAAGACTCTTATTGGAATGAGATCGTCTTATGTAATATAATTAATATAAATGATTGTAATAATAATAATAAGAAAAAATAAGCGTAAAAATATCATTTAATAACATTTAAAGTCATACTTATAACGATACTAGAGGATGGGACACTTCTTATAAATAAATTCATTCTTGTAGGTAAAGATCGAAATTTTTTGATGAAGCTATATATTTCAGTATGACATAGGAATCATTTCTACATTTGAAATGTCTTTATGCCTAAAAGTTATTATAAAATGATATTTGCTAATAACATATGATTCTATAAGGTCACACTTTATGATAAATTACTATCAATTGATTATTTATTAAGTAAACCGATTATTAATTAATATAATCAATACTTGTATTTAATTGAAAATTTATTATTTTATAAAAAAAATATTTTACCAACATATTGAACATTACTATTTTTTGGAAATAATAACAAAATAGAACAAAAACTATTATATTCATAAGATATAAATATATATGGTGTGTACAAATTAAATGGACACTTTAGTAACCATTTTGTTCACATATTTGGTAGGAATCATCTATAACATGAGAAATATGAAATCTTTCATTGATAAGTTCTTCTTGATGGTTTCTAGCAAATCCACAAATTACCAAAATGTTATATCAGATCTTGAACCTAATAAATGACTTAGAATCATGAACATTGAGATGTAATCTATGTATAATAATCAAGTATGAGCTTGATTAATCTTTCTCCCTATAACAAGACTAAAATGAATAAGTAATTCTTTTAGAAAGAATACATACATGGAGATCTATACACATTTAATAAGACTTGTTGTTAATTAAACACTTTAATTGGTGGGTTTTATAGATGACAAAATCATATTTTTGGCGGAAAAATAAAATCCTAAGTTTACATACACCTTAAGGATCTAAGTTTTCACTATTTATTGTAATAATCAATTTGAATATCAATAACCTTATTGTCACCCTAGTATTTTTACTATTTTTAAAAATAATAAAATAGTATAGAAAAACATACCTTTTGATTATGCTAGTAGATAATCAAAACAAAACCCTTCTTGAAATTGGTTGGAAGCTAGAACCAGGAATTTCATGCCTCTGATGGTTCACACTTAATCCTAGTAACAAGATGGCTTAAAGAGAGAGGAGAAGGGAGCTCCAAATTTCGACCTTGGCTTCTTAGAAAGGAGTGGTGGTCGAAATATGAAGCCAGAGAGGTGTTAATATAACTGAAGGAAACTTGGAGCTAAAGCTAATGTTTTAGGGATAAGGCCTAGATTAATTAATATAATAATCAAGTCGCCTTATCTTCTTTTCCTTACCCTATAGATGAAAATTCTAGGCTATTCCTAGCTAATTTTGGTCCACCCTATCCTATGGGATTCTAGAACCTTCATGCTTCAACTTTCAATAAATAACAAAACAATCCCAACACTTTTAATTACTCCAACTAATCCTAAAATTTAATTCTAATTAATTTCTGATTAATTATTAGTTAAATAATACAATTTCTAATTAATATATTATTTTCATAACATATTAATAAATTCATTTTATTTTAATTTCTATTTAATTTATTAATCACATAATAAATTAATAAATCAATCTTTCTTTCTAAAAGTCATCCTTTTCAATTATTAGGTTTGAGGGCAACCCAAAAGGACTTTGCTAATAATTCAAGATTATAATAATTTAGTTATTGGCTTAGACACCTAATCCAACAGTCTCCCATTTGGATTAGTCTAAAACTAAATTACCGATATAATGTCACACCCCCGAACCAGACGGCGGAAACGTCCGAGGGCTGTCGTGACTTAATTGAATACCATAACATTGAATATATATGAAACATAACATCATTCATCACCATGCATTAATATAGTACAACTGGTAGAGTTTACACTGAGTACATTGTTTTAATATTACATTCCCAAAAATAAATTGTTCGATCATAGATAAGCAAACTGCAAGCCATCACTGAATACATTTCCTTCGGTTTACTTGTTACCTGAGAATACAAGTATTTTGAAAAACGTCAACATATGAAATGTTGGTGAGTTCATAAGCGGTATTTGAAAAGCAACGTTTTGTATTGTTTTGAAAACTACCAGAAAATCCGATATTTTCTGAAAAGAGTTTATGAAAAAGTTTGTAAAGATCCATAAGTATGCTTGTTTGTTTCTATAGTTGTAAAAAGTGTTCATTAAACTTGTGTACATTTCGAGCCTGTATGTAAAAAAAAAACCCTAGGAAAACCCGATGTTTTCCTAACACTTTGAATTCCATGTAGTTGTTGTACCATCGCGGCATGTGAAGTCATTGATTCCAGGCGACGTCGGATTATTGCGCATGGTGAATTATTATAAACACGCGTTACACAAACGACCAGTTTACAATTATACTAACGATCCCGTAGGCGTCGTCCGTACTATTCACGTAACCCAACCGCCCTGACTTCGTGTAGCCCCACGACCGAGGAGAAGAGAGGGCACGAAGATCTCAATAATCCCATTAGTCGGTCGAGGCTATAGTGAATGCGAAGAACCCTTGGCCCGACTCACATTAGGTGAATTCTCGACTTTACTAGCAGTACCAAAGGACCCTTGGGGACCAATAGTATAAAAGCCATTGAAAGTCCTTTTACGCTGTGTTGGATCATGTAAGACCCAACAACTCGTAAGGTTGAAGTCTTCGGGCCTAAAGATCAGGTCATTGGGCTAGCTAGGCCCAACAAACAAGATTTTACACTTTGGGGCCCAAAGATGGTGCGTCGACGTCTGTGCACTCTCACGTGTGTATTGAATTCCCGAATATTACTTGTATGAATCGAGTGATCGTCGTGTTAGTAGTTTCGGGTTTGTTATTGATTCGAGACCGAATCAATTCGTTTGATAACGATTTTTGGTGTTGTTGTGTATTGAAATTCGTCGATAGTCGTAGTGCCATTATTTGATCACAACGGATGTATTGAATTATCATTGAAAATTTTCTGTTTACAGCCCCTCTTTGTTTGGTAAATTTACTTTTTCAACCCTTGGAATAAATAAATTTCCGGTTTAGTCCTTAAACCATTTTTCTTGTCATTTTAACACCAAAACTTATTGCAATTGACATTTTTCAGCATATTCTTAGTTGAAAACAGTTTTAGTCCCTGAAAATACAGTTTTCTCGGTTGTAGCCCCTCTTTTTCGCAATTTTTACATTTTTGGCCCAAATTGGAAAATTTTTGCAACTTTGGTCCTTTTTAATTATGAAAAGCATTTTTAACCCTTGAAAAGGACTTAGAACACTAATAGTCCACTGTTTTACAGAAAAACACAGTTTCAGCCCCTCAAAACAGAAAATTTCGCATATTGGGCCCTATTGGGCCGAAAATGTCATTTTTAGCCCATTAAGCTTGAAATTTATATTTTTAATCCTCCAAAGGAGTATATTTCTAGAAAATACAATATTGAAACTGTTTTGACTCATCTCACCCATCAGAATTCGTAATATGTCATTTTTGGCCCTTTAATTTTATATTTTTAACATGTTGTGTCCAAAAATGAGTTTTTAGCCCAAAGAAGATGTTATTAAGCCACTTAGCCATTTCTCTTGGAATACTTTGAATGTTGTGATATAATTTATGCTAGTATCATTCAAAATAAAATACATCTCGAGTTTTAGGAGTTTATGGATAGATCCAACATCATAATCACACAAAAACACACATATAAGCATAGAAAATCATACAAGGCATACAAAACACATATAGATCTACACTTTCACTTGTATTCCCCCCCCCCCTAAAACTTATAAAACAGAAAAATAGGGAGTATGAAGCTCACCTTAGGGTGTGGTTTCGGTTTTTGAAGAAAAGATGGAAGAAAGTTTGGTGATTTTTGGCCTTAGCACCCCTTGATGAAGATTTCGACCTTGAGGTGATTCTAGGATGCAAGATCATGATTTTTGCATGGATTAGGAAGAGATTTTTGATTAAAATAAAGAATCTAAGTCATAGATCCAAGCATAACCTTACCTTAGATGAAGAGTTTGTGGAAATATCCCCTTGAAAACCTCTTAATTTTCGAGATCTTGATGAAGGATGGAGGGAGTTTTCTTGAGAGAGAGTTGTGAGATAATTGTGTGTGTGTGTGTGTGTGTTTCGGCCGAGAGTGAGAGAGGGAGAGAAGAAATGGACCTTGAGGTGATGTATTCCTAGAAGTACGAGATGTTGCATGGAGATATGTGGGATATAAGTGAGGTGGCATGCATTAAGTCAACCCTTCCTCATTTTTTTTCTTGGATTTGGGCCTTGGGCCGAGAATTTGGAAGGAAAGGAAAAATTTGGGCTTTAATGCCCTAAGCCCATGTATAAGTTAGGTTGGATGAGTTTTAACCTAAAAAAAATATAATATGATTTTCACACTATGTTAGGCTAGTTTAGGTTTAATCATGGTGCAAA